CTGGGCAGAGCTTTTTGCTCTGGGGTGGGCGCTGGGGCTGCCGGGGCTGCCTGGACTTGCTGTTGCATCTGTAAAGCTGCTTTCACTGCCTCAATCGCCTCCTCAGGTGTTTGCCCATTTGCTGTGGCCTGCTGTAGAGCTGTGATCAAAGCAGCCGGGTTCGCACACAAGGGAATTTGATGGTGCTTTGGCTTTAGAGGTTCAGGCTGCATCTGTTGAGACACACGCTCCTTCAATGAATCCGTGTCCCAAATTTCGGAGTTGTACTGGTGAGGACAAAATGGAAGCACCGTTCCTGGCTGCCCTGCCTGAGTAGCTTGCGAATCAAAGATCGCCTCAACCTCAGCCTCAAAATTGTCCACCATAGACATAGTCGGTTCCACCTTGCAGGTCAGACAAACCAAAGATTGTTGAGCATGAGATCTACTTTCATTGCAGCTGCATTGAATTGAAACATGAGACAGCAACAAGTCACACAGGCCTGCGTATCGCCCACAGTAGCATCAGTCTGGAACGTATCGCCCATGTTCATTGGCTGCAAAGGTCTTGACAGGTTCACTCTCTGCCTCAGATCGCCATGGGTTCGAAAGCCGGCCATGTACGGTCGTTCACGTGCAACTAGTTGCATGGCTCTAAGCATCAGACCCTGGAAGATCCATATGAACTTCAGGAGCCATCGAAGAAGTCCGAGGCAAAGCAGGACCTCCAGCCAAGGAGAATTGGCCAATCAACACTATGAGCCATTGACAGCATGCGCATCATACCTGCCTGGGGTTCCTGCAGCAAACGCTTCTTGGGCGTCCCGCACCACTCCAAACAAGTAGGGGTCTTCCAAACATTGTGACACTCCAGCAGGAGCCATCGACTCTACCTTGACAGTACTCATCTCCAAGCCGTCCAAGCAAACCTAAAAGTAAACGCCACGGGAATTGAACAAAAAGGCTTCGGAAGGCCAACACTCTGATTGGGCTGAATCTGTCCATGGAGTGCCCCCGGCAGGTCACGGGTGGTCACGGTCGGTCACGGGGGGCTCTGAGGACTTTACCTTTTGGGCGTTTCTTTTGGTCACGGCTGGTCACGGTCTGGTCACGCCCTGTCACGGTGACCAACCGCGACCACCCGTGATGCCGAGGTCTGAAAATGTGCAAACGGAAGGCAAGAACAGCTCCAGTTAACAACAAAACTCGAAGCAAAGATAGAATCCATAAGCAATGCTCTTTTGACCCCTTCTTGCAACCACTGGCATGTACAAATGGCATCAATTGGCAAGCTAAATTGAATTGGCATCTAATCTTAAGCTGACATCAGCTCAAGGTCCAAGGCTGCCGCAGTTCGGTCAGAGCATCCAGAACTTTCCCCTCCAAGAAATGTGAATGCTCAAGCTGACTATATGCCGTGATGTCGGCCTGCGAGGCAAGCACGATGCAGGTGCGCATGAAACTCTTTGACCTCACTCAATTGAACTCCAAAAGCAAAAATGGTCCTTGATCTGGTCACTAGTGAGATTGGCAGACTGGAGCACGCACCATCGTCTTTTCTCTCTCCTTCGGTTTAAGGTCAGAGAAAAGAAACAAATCCAACACTCAACCCACATGACTGCTCCATCGCGCAAACAACCACCAAGAGAGGTCATGGACACAAAAATTGATACAGACGTCTGTGTCAATTATTGTGTCCTTTTGATCTCCCTTGGCACTCAAGCACTGCAGTCCCGTAGGTTGCCATCGCTGATCCATGAGAAGACCACCACATAGCCAGAGCGCGGCCAAACTCCGGAGTGTACAATTCGGTGCTTTTCAATCCAGACCTTCCCGCCACTCTCTTTTGGCCATGAGAATCTGTGTACCTAGTGAGCAGTCCAATAAAAACTAAGATCCACAAGAATGAAATCTTGCAGCATCCAACCTCTTGGGACGCAGCTTGCGCAATTTTCACGTGCACAGACCCATGAAACCAAAAGAATCTAACACACTTTGCTGGCCAGGTCACACTTGCCAAGCATCAGCTTCCAAAGGAGGCCTTTGGTCTTTGGGTGGAACATGCATGTCCATCAAAATCTGAAACTTTTCTGTGGAGTAAAGCGCCGTAGGCTTCAACGTAGGTGCTCTGAAAGCCGCCATGGAAACACTGTTGAGCTTGAGCGGCGTCCCAGATTCCTCTAAGAACCCAATGACGCTCTGCCACGACGGCAGAGCTGTCATCACACTTCTGAGTGGTTGCTCCAAAACAAAGCAACAGCCTCGCCCCCATGCCAGCAATGCCAACAGCGACGATCTGCACGCCAATAGGCTTCCCAAGGCAACGTAATGCAAATGGTCCTTTCCAAGTGGGCAGGATATTGACCTGCCATGCGTTCCTGCATTGATGAAAGTAAAGGAAGTGCACACTGTTGCAAGGTGAATCAGAGCACCAGACGAAGCACATAGAACTGCAAGAACTGCAGCGACCAGTCCACTGGTTAATGAAAGGTCATGAGATCCACTTCCTTGGGCAGCAAAGAAAAAGGTTCAATGCAGATGGATGCAAACTACACGTAAAATGGATGACAACCAAAGTGGACTCCAAGACAAAGTCTTTCAAACATGTAATTTAAGGATATAAATTAAGCTGGGGCTCGCAAAATGTCAAAGGCCAATGCCTGGCAACCCATCTCCAGAAACGCTTTGGCAATTTGAGAAGACTTTGAACTCCCTGCAAAGAATTCGATGCACTGCAGGTCCTGTGGAAAGTCCATCTCTGGCACGCACATTCTCCGGATACACATGGCATGCATCACGAGCTCTATAAGTACCCATGGCAGCTGCAATCGTGTGAAACCGTAGATCTCCTGCAATTCTTGGAATGATAAGGTGTTCAGAATGGCCATCAGCACAGCCACATCAATCATTGCCATGGCTGGAGGCTAAATGCAAAGCAAATATAGCTCAATACAACCAGTGTGACAATGGTCTCGTCGATACACCCATGCTGTGGTCTTGTTATGTTTGTGGTCTAGTCATACACACTATAAACCTTTCATCACCAACAGTCAATGCATTGGTCACAGAGCAGAAATCTGCCAGCAGCAAACTTAAGACTCTTAAGACTCAAGACTGCGTGCAAACTATCGTTGATTCAAACACGAGCAGCAGTGGTGGCGTTGCGCACTCTTCGATAGTCGAACTCGAGGGCCGTGAGATAGACGCGGCTGCGCGTCCTGCAAATCAGGGCCAGCGGTGGCCTTGCACTTGCTTTAGTGTAAAGCTTTCAGAGGAAAGGCTGTACAGAAACAATAAGAGGCAGCGGACCGTGTTTTTTCTCCAACACCCGAGCTCGAGTTCCTAGATCGGCTTGGGCGGTCTCTACGGCCATGCCGCAGACTTGATCTCACCCAATCGCTGCACAACAGCTTCAAGGGTCTTGGAACCATTGTTGAGATCCTCCGTCAATTCAGTGACAATCCTCTCGCATTCACCCATGTCGAAGTCAGTGGCCGTGGAGCAAAGCTGGACCTTTTGTTTTCCTTCATGAACGATGGCGCAAGCCAAAATGGTACCAGTCTTGGACTTACGCTTGTGTTTCTTGATAGTGTACGCGGCTTTCTTTTCACCATCCCCTTTTCCGGACACCTTCTCTTTAGCTCTCGCTTTCCCCTTCGCCTTAGCCTGTGCCGGCCTCAACTCCGCCTTCAAGCGTCTCTGGCCTGACGTGAGTGGAGCTTGAGCCGTGCAGTGGTATGTTGAAACAATACTGCAATTAAAAAA